ACTGGGTCAGTCTACTGAGGAAGACCAGAGTAACTGGTTGAAAGCTCTAGGTGAGAGAACTTTTTGTGTTGGATTGAAAGTTTTAACTCTAAACATGTAACTACCAACACAGATGAACCTTCATGACAGCCATACCAGCTTGTTCTGTCACTTCTGCGCACATGTAAAAATAAGCTATCAATCATACATGTAATCCAGCTGAGGCCATGCCGGCGTGTTTGTTTGTGTGAACGTTTTAAAACTTACACTGCAGAAAACAGCTGACGGTGCCATGGCATAGGTAAGGTGGTGTGTTATGCTGAAGGACGGTTATACCGGCTATACAGATACAGAAGTTGAGAAAGGTAGCAATGATACTGTAATACATGCAAAGATAAGAAGGAAAATGCACTAAAAGTACAAGAGAGAAATGGTTCTTGTAGATTATGACAGAATTTATGATAGAATTGCTCTCCTACATACTTGTGTTTTATGCAAGTCTAGTCAATGTTTCACATTTTGTCAATCATGAAAACCAGATCTAGATAAATGGTGTGAATTTGTAATAGGAAGAACCGCCCTGACTGTAGATAATGTTTTGCCAGAGGTTTGTGTTTTGTTGATGACTGACATATTGGTTTGTGGTTTCTGTACTTCTCGACTAACTTGTCTGTTTGTGTTGCAGACACCTGGACCAACATGGAGGTGCTGAACGTCTCCTGCAACAAACTCAAGTCTCTGCCGGTCAGTCCTGCCTTACTCTTGCTGTGTGTAGGGTCGGGATTAGAGTTATCTGATCAATGGTTGTGTTGCAGTTTCTGTCAGGGATCTCCAGTCAATACAAGTGTTTAGTATTACAACAAAATGTTGTCTGTTGACCATTATGGAACATTTTTATTTATCCTGTGTTGTTTTGGTGTTTCTGCCTTTCTGCTGTCATGGCTGATCAGAGGGTAAGTCTGTAGGTCATGACCCCAGCACTGTAGGTCACGACCCCAGCACTGTAGGTCACGACCCCAGCACTGTAGGTCACGACCCCAGCACTGTAGGTCATGTCCCCTGCTAATGTATGTCATGAAACTTGACACTGTAGGCCATTGTGGGTCACACTACTGGCTGGTTTAACCTTGAACTATTATCACCTGGAAATATAGAAGCAGATTTTGATGCCCACACCGTCTCTAGTCCTATATATAATATTCTAACCAGCAAACTGCTTCCCCCGCCAGGCATCTCTGTCGAAGCTGGTGTCGCTGAAGCGTCTCTACATCAACGTGAACCAGCTGGACTTCGAGGGCATCCCGGCCAGCATCGGCAAACTGCAGAACCTCGAGCACTTCGTGGCCTCCAACAACAACCTGGAGCTCATCCCCGAGGGGCTCTGCAGGTGGGTCGATCCGGGATAAACCACTCTGGTGGGGGGAGGGGCAGGGTCCAACAACAACCTGGAGCTCATCCCCGAGGGGCTCTGCAGGTGGGTCAGTCCGGGGTAAACTGGTGGGGGGAGGCAGTTCCAGGTATACTGTTCCAATCCCAGAAGACAGCTATGATCTGTATTAGTCCCTCCCTACTTATCCAATGGTACAGTCCCAGAAGTCTGACAGCTATAATCTGTATCAGTCCCTCCCCTACTGGATCATGGTACAGTCCCAGACAAGTCTGACCTTATATTTCATGCCTGTGTGGCTAACTGCCTGGTGTCGAATGTCCTGCACCGATGGAGAAGCCAGGCCGGCGGTTTTGTGTTGTGGCCTGTATCAATCCCTCCCTACTGTTCCAATGGTATAGCCCAGAAGTCTGACAGCTATGACCTGTATCAGTCCCTCCCTACTGTTATAATGGTACAGTCTGACCTTATATTTCATGCCTGTGTGGCTAAATGCTTGGTGTCGAATGTCCTGCGCCGACCCAGAAGCCAGGCCGGCGGTTTTGTGTTGTGGCCTGTATCAGTCCCTCCCTACTGTTATAATGGTACAGTCTGACCTTATATTTCATGCCTGTGTGGCTAAATGCCTGGTGTCGAATGTCCTGCGCCGACCCAGAAGCCAGGCCGGCGGTTTTGTGTTGTGGCCTGAGTGGTTCCACTTCAGCTGACAACAAAAGGCTTAAAAACACTTTTCTTGTCACCCTTACATGCAGCAGGGTCAGGTGTATGGGGAGGCTCTGCATGGGGTTTAGGACACTTTTCTTGTCAGCCTTACATGCAACAGGGTCAGGTTTACAGAGAGACTCTGCATGGCGATAAAGCTCATAACCCCCATACACAGTCCTAACATGCAGGACCATAACCCCCATACACAGCCCTATCATGCATGACCATAACCCCCATACACAGCACTAACATGAATGACCATAACCCCCATACACAGCCCTAACATGCAGGCCTATAACCCCCATACACAGCGCTCACATGCAGGCCTATAACAACCCTGACAAAAACAGACCCATAACGGAGCGGTATAACCCCCATACACAGTCCTGGCCCATAACTAACCAGTGACGTCAGTGCCTGCAGAAACTAACAGTCACTAATAATGCACCAGGCATGCAGAGCACAGGTGCAACTCTGTCCCTTGGACTTGGAGAACTCAAGAAAACTACAAGGAGTCTGTAAGGAGGTGTGCTGAGTCTAAGACACTGGAGGTACACCTGAAGTAGCAGTTGGAGTCAAGAAGCTTCTTCCGCGCTTGGAGTTAGACTGACAATATTCTGAGAAAAAAACATGTATTTAGAAAGCATCCTGGAAAAGGAACCTCGCCTCACCACATGCTGAAAATGTAGACGTCAGACTTTCTTTGTTTATTTGTAGACATACCTGAAGGAGTCTGGGATTTCAACGATTGTTCTTGAAGTTCTTGACGGACGTGGATTCAAGCAGAACTGTTTTGGAGAAGGTCACAGGCAAACCCGCATGGTGTAGGGCCGAGACAAACGTCGCTGAAACGTGCAGGTTTTGTCCGTCAGACCGCAGCAGATAGAACTGACAATCAGCTGATTTTTACTAGACCAGTGGCAGTCAGAATCACCTCAAGTATGAGCTGTGAGATATTGATGGTGACGTTTTTGTGATTTTAACAGACAAACTTCAGTAACATTGTAAGAGTTCCCGACCTGAGCTGAAACACCCTGAGTCTTCAGCCGCTTTAACTGAGCCATGAACACAAGACACGAGGGGCGTCGTTCTCCAGGCTTTACGGCAACAAAACCAACCATTTAAGCCATAAAGTTGTCTCACGCCTTTTCAAGTCAAGAGTGTAGCTAGTAAATCTATAATCATCCTCAAGCACTCTATAAAACAGACTTGAAGACTTTGGGACCAAACAAAGAGCAAATTGGCCATGCCTCTGTCTTGCCAGGGCAATTATCTTGTATTGAGGTCGTCCAAGATTTTCCGAAATAATTTCCAGTTGCTTGAGTAGCTGTTTTTTGGCCGTATCTCATTATTACCTGGATGTCTTACCTTCACTGACGCAAGATTTGATCCCTGGAGGAAGTGGGGGCATCTAAGGACACCTGAAGAGTCCACACTGACTAAAGAAGCCTCTGGAAACAACTGTCTACAGCTGCCACATGCTTCTGACATGAATTCTGCGGTGTATATATTGATTGATCGATTGAAGATTTGATACTGAGGAACAACAAGCCTATTTGAACTGTCTACAGCTACCACGCTTCTAACATGAAGCCTGCAGAGGATTGATTGATTAATTGATGGTTTGATTGATTGATCAATTGATTGATACTCCAGGAAGCAAACCACAGAATCCCGACCAAATGACTTTTCCCAATTTGCAACATTTTTGGTGAGGAGAAATATCGCTGTGTTTCCATGACAACATGGGAAAGCCCCGCCCTCGTGACAGACAACCTCCGCCACGAGCGAAGTTAGGAGAAGAGTCAAACGACAGAAGGTTTGTGGAGCCTGCAGTTTTCCCTGGGATCCTCACAATTCCAAACTTGTATTTGATTTGATTTGATTTGATTTGATTTATTGAGATTGTAACAATACAATACACGTGGGACAAAGGCAGCTGTTGCTGGTGTTGTGTCCCACACATAGAAACAAATACTGGACAGACAATACTCATTTTCACTTGAGTTCAGTAAGGAAAGTCATACGCGCGTGTAAAGTGCCTTTCTTAAGGGCACAAGATTGGTGGCATGTCAGGACTCGAACCCGGGACCTCTTGGTTCTGAGTCAAGCACTCTTCCGTTACGCCACACAACCCCAGGCTTTCCAGCTTGCTGAGTGGACCAGAAGTCCTTTCCCCACTAGAGACTCCTCCCCCCCACACAAACACCACACATCACACACACAGTCCCTACCTGCTTCTGCAGATGTATTTCTGAGGGAACTAACAAAAGCAATGGCCCTGTACGGATGTGCAACAGGCCCACTGGGTGATTTACATGGTGATAACGGATGCCATTGGTCCTATCGGCTGTTTTAAGAATGTCCTTTATAATTCTATAAATATTAGAGAAGAGCAGTTCAAGATTTAGGATTAATAATTGTCACAAACTTTGCAGAAGTGGTTCCACGAATCCCACGGTTCTGCTTTTTTTTTCCTGTCAACTTACTTATTTGTTCAAGGCAAATTTATGACTGGGCGGCAAATTTGATATGACTGAATACATAATTGTTTGCATATAATGCTGTTGTTTGTTATTTACATGTGTACCTGTTTATTTGTTTGTTGTTTAGATGTGGGAAACTGAAGCGGCTGATCCTGAACAGAAACAGGCTGGTGACGCTGCCTGATGCCATCCACGCCCTCACAGACCTGGAGGTAAGACATCCATAACCGGCCTTAAGTATCCAGAACATAATAAGGTCACGTGTTTGTAAACCGTAATTCTCGCGAGATCACGTTGTGAAGTGATTGGTCATTAATTATCCTGATGAAGGCGACAGTGGTCGATGAAAATTTGATCCCTGTACAATTGTGTGTTGGAATAAAGTTCAACCTTTTACTATATCCAGAACCCCGCCTGTCTAGTTCTGGATATTCTCTATTGTATCCAGAACCCCGCCTGTGTAGTTCTGTACCTGAATGGGTTAGGGCTAGGATCAGGTACAGTTCTGGATAGTCTCTGTTGTACCCAGAACCAAGCCTATCTAGTTCTACGCCTGAATGGGTTAGGGTTAGGATCAGGCACGGTTCTGGATAGTCTCTGTTGTACCCGCCTGTCTATTTCTGGACAGTTTCTAAATAGTATCCAGAACCGTGCCTGTCTAGTTCTGTACCTGAATAGTCTAGAGTTCAAAAAAGTATTTTCAACACTGAAAATAATTATAAGTTAATTAATATGAGTGGGTCTTGCCTGGGTTTAAAATTCTGTCTGTGTATTGCGGTTCGTAGAATGTCCTCCCTTGTTACGGTTAGTGTAATGTGTGTGTTACGGTTAGTGTAATGTGTGTGTTACGGTTAGTGTAATGTGTGTGTTACGGTTAGTGTAATGTGTGAGTTAGGGTTAGTCTAATGCCGTCCCTTGTTGCAGACGCTGGATATCCGAGACAACCCGAATCTCGTGATGCCGCCGAAGCCCAAAGAGAAGAAAACCGGCAGCGGGCCGGAGTTCTACAACATCGACTTCTCACTGCAGCATCAGCTCAGACTGGCTACAGGTGCACCCCCCTCACCATCACAGGGGCAGCAACGTAAGTACCCCCCCTGTACTATACAGTACCCCCTCACCATCACAGGGGCAGCAACGTAAGTACCCCCCTCACTGTACCCCCCTGTACTGCACCCAACCCCTCCCCCTCACAGGGGCAGCAACGTAAGTACACCCCTCCTATAGCCCCCCTGTACCCCAACCCCCTCCCCCTNACAGGGGCAGCA